CTCCAGTCTGGGTGACAGAGTGAGACTCCAACTCAAAAAAAAAAAAAAAAAGAAGAAGAAATAGTTAGCTGGATGTGGTGGTGTACACCAGTAGTCCCAGCTACTCGGGAGGCTGAGGCAGGAGGATCGCTTGAACCCAGAAGTTTGAGGCTGCAGTGAGCTATGATCAAGCCACTGTACTCCAGCCTGAGTGACAGAGTGAGACTTTGTCTCAAAAAAAAAAAAAAAAAGACAGACTTTTTGAGCCCATGATGTGTGTAAGGGCCTGGAAAAGGCCCCGTCTTTCACCAAACACTTTCTCAACCATCCAGGCTTCCTCCTCTAAAACACAGTGACCTTTCCATGGCAGGAGAGGTGGGCTAGGGCTCTGGACACCTCACCCCTGGGGAGAGGGTCTGGGTGCAGGCACCCGCCATGGGGAGGCACCGCCTTTCCGCAGCTGGCGGTGAGCAAGAGTTTGGGCACAGAAGCCAAGCGTGGGGTGAGGGGCGGAGGCAGCGGGAAACTTCTGGAAGCCAGCTGAGCTGATTTCATCATTCACTTTCCCAGCCGCTGAGTGGAAAGGTGTGGGGCTTCTAGAAACACAACAACAAGCCGAGTCAAAACCCCAAACCCCAAAAGGTAATTTTTCGCTACAGGAATCAGTGGATTCCCACCATGAGGGATGCCCAGAATCTCACCCCCACCCCTGATTTAAGACCCAAGGCTGTTGATCGCTCTGGTCTGTGTCTTCCTATCCCTCACCTCCTACACGGAGTGGTCTACTTTCTCAGTGCCCTCAGGTGAGCGGGAAGCAGGAAGGTGGGAGGCCTGCAGGGGGGAGGCCCCTTCTTAGGCCAAGAGGAAGGGGCTAAAGCCAGACGTGGGCTTGTGAGAATCCCTGCTATGATCCCTCCCCACCCTGGATAGCTTACTACCCCACTGTCCAACATGGTGTCACTCCAGGTGCCACTGAGCACGCAAAATGCAGCCAGCCTGAATGGAGATGTGCCGTCTGTGGACACAGAGAACACTCAGTACGAACAAGGAATGCAAATGATCTCAGCAATAATGCTTATATCGATTACATATTGAGACGATAATACTGTCAACAAATTGGGTAAAATAAAAATATTATTTAAATAAATTTTACTTGCTTATTTTCTATTTTTCTGAGTTGGAATCTCACTCTCTCGCCCAGGCTGGCGTACAGAGGCCGGATCATGGCTCATCACCGCCTCGACTTTCTGCGCCCAAGTGATCTTCCCACCTCAGCCTCCCAAGTGGCTGAGACGACAGGCACAAGCCACCACTCCCAGCAAATGTTTTGATTTTTTGGAGAGATGAAGTCTCGCTATGTTGCCCAGGCTGGTCTCAAACTCCTGGGCTCAAGCAAGCCTCTTGCCTCAGGCTCCCAAAGTGATGGCATTATAGATGTGAGCCACCATGCTTGGTATTTCTTTTTTTCGTTTTTTTTTTGAGTTGGAGTCTCACTCTGCTGGGCTCTGGTGATCCTTCCGCCTCAGCCTTCTGAGTAGCCGGAATTACAGGCATGTGCTACCACGCCCGGCTTTTTTGATTTATTGTAGAGATGAGGTCTCGCTGCCCAGGCGGGT